GTGCAATTTAAAGTGCATTTAACAAAGAGTTTACACTACAATACTGACTGGTTCTAAGTGCAGATAGCACATCACAATCCAGCGACTTGCAATACTGAGCAGAGGGCTAAAATACCCATCACCTTGCTATCAGAGGATAACCATGTAACAAGATTCAACAGGCAGTGGGGAGACCCGCACAACGTAAACCAATTGCACAAGACATACACCTAATAGACACGCAAGTTGCTGAAGTGGAAGAGACGCAAAAGGTATTCACACGAGGGTTGTGACGGTAATGGTATTAACTTGCTATTTGTAAATACAGAAATCCAGTTAAATTTGCACTACAAAGTATTGAACCAAAGGGTACATTTAAAACATTTAAGGGTACATTTAAAGTGGTGCACCAGCAGCCATTCCATGACTCGATCTGCTCCGGCTCAGTGGCTGAAACTAAGTAAGTGTGGACTTGGGTAGTACTTTGATAGGAGACCACCTGGGAAAACTAAGTTGCTGGAGGTAGTGTTGGTGGGCCACTGGGTGGCAATCTTCCCTCCGGTTGAAATCATCCCCAAGCCCCTAGCGCAGTGATGAAGTAGACGCCATCGTTCCAATGAAACGTTACACTGAGGTTGTGACTAGCTGTGGTCATTAAGAATTCCAAGACATTCTTTGGCCAGAGAAGGGGGGTTACCTGGTGTCCTGGCTAAATTCCCAACTAAGCTTTTTCAACCTGCCCCCTAATCATACCCGATTTAACCCCGTAAAACCTATGGACTGATATATATGGGCTTGTCAAATGCAGCTGCTATATTCAAACCTGTGGAACTTCAGTTTTATTTGAAATTTTAGGGGAGATCCTACGGTTTCAAACGATCCCAAACATGTCCTGTTGAATTACAGGGATATGTGTATACAATGGTACACAAGATCTTGATATTTTCCATTTGATTTAATCCTGTGGCCATATAAATATGGCTCCGTGGGTTTGAATATTTCTTTCAATATAAGTGTGATGTAGCTTCAGTGAAGCACTATTACTAGCAGAATACATAGACTGTCAGAATATACAGTATGTGACATTGTCCTATAATATGAAAAAAGTTGTTTTTTTTTTCCAATGTTGAATCTACAAAAGGGAAAACTTAAGTGAAAAGGTCAGTGTCGAAGGGGTTGGCTATGCGATTTGTCTCCCTCTCACTACACCTCAAGCTGATGTGTGGAGAGTGTTCTTGTGCAAAATGGCTGCTGTCGCATCACCCAGGTGTGTGCAACACTTTTGTGGTGGTGAGATAGGATTACCCATATTACTGTAAAGAGTGTTGATTATCTATGAGAAGGCGCAACATTCAGTAAATGCAATGATCATTCATTTGTTTATTTGGTGATGCTTTTTCATTTTTTTTATGTTGGCAAATACAACCCCAATTCCAAAATAGTTGGGACAAAGTGTAAATTGTGAATAAAATCAAAACGCAATGACTTTCAAATCACACCAGCCAGTATTCTATTCACAATAGAACAGAGATAACATAGCAAATGTTGAAACAGAAATTTTACAATTTTATCCACAAAATGAGCTCAATTCAAATTTTATGGCTGCTACAGGTCTCAAAAAAGTTTGGACAGGGGCCTGTTTACCATGGTGTAGCATCCCCTCTTCTTATTAACACAGAGTGGAGGCGTCTTAGCATTGCGGAGACAAGTTTCTTGAGTTTAGCCATTGGAATTTGATCCCACTCTTGTTTAATACAGGCTTCCAGCTGCTGGAGAGTTTTGGGTCTCCTTTGACGGACTTTTCGTTTAATGTTGCGCCAAATGTTCTCAATTGATGAAAGATCAGGACTGCAGGCAGGCCAGATCAGCACACAGACTCTTCAACTACAAAGACATGTTGTTGTAATAGCTGCAGTATGTAGTTTTGAATTGTCCTGCTGAAATACACAAGGCCTTCCCTGGAATACATGTCGTCTGGATGGGAGCATATGTTGCTCTAAAACCTTTATATACCTTTCAGTATTTTAAAACATGCAAGTTTCCCACACCATATGCACTAATGTATCCCCACATACCATCAAAGATGCTGGCTTTTGAACTGAACACTGATAACAGGAGGGGTGGTCTTTCTCCTCTTTAGCCCGGAGGACACGACGCCCATGATTTCCAACAAGAATGTCAAATTTGGACTCGTCTGACCACAGGACACTTTGCCACTTTGCTACAGTCCATTTTAAATGAGTCTTGGCCCACAAAACACGGCGATGCTTCTGGATCATGCTCAACAATGGCTTCCTTTTCGCATGATAGAGTTTAGGTGGCATCTGTGGATGGCACGGCAGACTGTGTTTACAGACAGTGGTTTCTTGAAGTATTCCTGGGCCCATTTAGTAATGTCAATGACAGAATCATGCCGGTGAGTGATGCAGTGGCGTCTGAGGGTCCGAAGATCACGGGCATCCAGTAAAGGTCTTCGGCCTTGTCCCTTACGCACAGAGATTTTTCAAGTTTCTCTAAATCTTTTCATGATGTTATGCTCTGTCGATGATGAGACCTTCAAAGCCTTTGCAATTTGACGTTGAGGAACATTGTTTTTAAAGTATTCCACAATTTTTTTATGCAAACCTTCACAGATTGGAGAGCCTCTGGCCATCTTTACTTCTGAGAGACTCAGCCTCTCTAAGACATCCCTTTTATAGCCAATCATGTTGCCAGTTAACTTAATTACTTGCTAAATGTTCTTTTAGCTAATTCTCTTATATATTAATTGCTTTTTCAGCCCTTTTTTGCCTGTGTCCCAACTTTTTTGAGACCTGTTGCAGCCAGAAAATTTGAAATAAGCTCATTTTGTGGAGGAAAATGTAAAATGTCTCAGTTTCAACATTTGAAATTTTATCTATGTTCTATTGTAAATAACATATTGGCTCATGTGATCTGAGTCATTGCATTTTGATTTTAGTCACAATTTACACTTCGTCCCAATTATTTCGGAATTGGGGTTGTATGTAGGCTATATCCCATGAAAGAAAATCCATTCACAATACTTGGCTCATTACTTCCCTCTGTAAACCTTAGTTAAATATTTAAATATCATTTTTTATAACTTAATTTTTGGACCGATTACTAGACTTTGCATGTCCAGAAAAATGACTTACAATGTCCACAAATGCTTTTCTCTTTGGTGTGTATATAAACACAAATATTTTTTATTCAGCACTTAGGACAAAAACGTGCTGAAAAAAACAGTGGCATTGCTATTCTCATTTCACTGCAAGAGATGTGTCTTTTATTTTAAAAAATCATTGTAATGCATGGAAGTGCTTTGATCAATGCAAAACTTTATTAACTAATAAAATACACTCTGTTCCTTAAGGAAAAAGAAAGAATATCATTACAAAGGTTAGGGTGGAAAGCTTCAATTTTAAATATTTAACCCTTCATCAAACTTTGGGCCTGAGGGCGGGCCTCTAGGCATAATTGCATTTTTATACTATTAAATATTCTGTGACCTTGGAGAACTACAGGAATGTATTGTTTCAAAATGAGAGATCTCAGCAAACTAACTCTGTAAGCCATTTTATGATGTAAATGACACTGCAAAAATACTATTTCATATTGTATCATAACAACCCTCAGCCTGACTCTGCTGTCTGAGAGGTTTGACTGTATAGCTTTGTTCAGATTTATCAATATATGTACAAATAGATGTTTATATCTTGCTAGTGATCCAACCATCAAAACTGACATAGTTTTTAATCTGGAAAACAAGCAAGCTTGGACAAACATCACAAAAACTACTTTGAAACAGAGATGGTAGCTGCATGAATTTTTTGATGGGTTTTATTCTTGCGATGTAGTTGTGGAAACAATAGAAAGTTGCTGCAGTCTACAGTACTTAGATCTTGAAGAAAACTACCTTCAAACCAAAAAATTACAATGAAATGAACTTTCAACTCGGAACTCCAACTCAGAAACTCAGGCAAGATCCAGCAAGCTCGAGGTTGCCAACATAAACACACTTGACATTGGACAAATAGTGCGCACAGTAACCTAAACAGTAAGCAAAATGACCATGTCATCAAATTTCTGCTTTATGAGGTATTCGTGTCGTGAAACGTGCCATGACAACTTTGTAGCACAAATTTTTATACAATTGAAATGATTTGTGCTTGATGGAGGTCTTTACCAACAATCCTCGAGTGCTCCTCCCCATCATTCACAAATCACACTGCACTCAGTGGATTGTTCATAGATAATATAACAGAGTATTTGTGAAATCGAATTACTGTTCATGTCGCTGAGGTAGTAGATAAAGTTCCTCAGTGGGTGATTGTGGAGCTCAGAGACTAGCTAAATAAACATGAATTTGTGGCAGTAGTCCATTTTTTCCAGAGGTGTATAATCCAGGGGTCAGAAAGTAAAAGTCCTGGCAAGTTTTTCTCCCTCCCACAGAATGAGCTGATCACTCACATTGGCTCCATCTCCTGTCTGAAGTAAATCCAGGTGGTTGGAATAAAGTTCTAGGGAGGATTTTTACTTTCTGAACCCGGACTTTACACCTCTGATTTTTTCCCAAGCAGATGTAATGTGACGCATTTACCTCGGAAGTCAGGAAAAAACCGACTCGGAACTACTGACTTCCAATGTCCAATGGATTGCAGCAAGTATTTATCCATTTTTTTTTATAGTGAAAATATATCTCTTTCACTGTATCAGAGGTCATCAAAGGCCTTCTTCATTATAAAACCCCATAGCGAAAAAAATAAAGGAAATCTGCATTAATTGGAGAGATATTTGACTCTGAAGTGGAATACAACATTTCTATCATAGTAACCTGCTTGCCTTTCTGAACAGAACATGCGCTACCTAGCAACATCAATAGTTCACAAAGAGAATGTTTATCTATAACCAGCAACAAACAGCAGAGCCTACCTTTTTCTGCCAGGGGTCCAGATCTTGGTTCTTCAGAGAGATGAAGAAAGAAACTGTGAGTCTATATAAGCGATAAGCTATATAAGCGAGACGCGGTAGCACAGTGGTTAAGTGTGCTTGACTTGGAACTGAAAGGTCCTGAGTTCGAGTCCTGGCCGTGACCTTCGCGGTATGTTCTTGGGCAAAATACTTCACTCAGCACCTCACTCCACCTAGATTTGTAATTGAGTACCAGCAAATTGTCAGGAAAACCAGACTAAGAGTTGGGGGAGTGACCTGTGATGGACTAGCATCCGATGTAGGGTGAGCAACAATATCCTTAGTCGCTTCATCCTACAGGAACTGGGCTTAAGCACGGGGTCTGACGGGCCACTTGGCTCAGAACAAACTTACTCTCTCACATAAGCTAGCCCCATGAAATAACTAGCTAGCTTGCCTGTCAGCTATCTGTTGCTTAATGTGCGTGGTGTCACAAAAATCTAAATTTGCTAGTCTTAGACTGCATTGTGCTAATATGCAGCCAGAAGCTGATGGACTAACACTAAATCAATTTTTTTCTTTTTGTATATTTGCTGTTGCTGTGACAATGTACTGCAGTGTTTCGAGGGCATAGAGAATAAAAATGGTGGCGTGCTGTACATTGTGGGAAAGTACACAGAAGTCTGTGAGATCCATGGGTACAACCCATAATTAGCCTATGTTACTTATGACGCAGTGCTGTAGATTGTAGAGCAGCCCTTTGCAAACAAAATAATGCACCCACTGGGTATTATGCACTGATGTAACAGAGCGCTAAGTGTTTTAGCCCTCACTCCAATATAAACTTCTTACAGTTTACTCAATCAGTAGTCTGGAACTTCTAAAAGATGGATGCGTATGGTAGCCAAGAGATTAATTTTTACAACAGTGAATTGTTTAAATGATTTTTGACGGGGGAAATTTTGTCAGTGAAGCAGTTTTCGAAACAATTTTATTACGCATGTACAATCGCACACCAGTGCTGGGAATTGTGATGGTAAATTGATGCGAAAATTCAACAACATATACAGAAAAAGACAAGAAAGAAGGAAGTTGTAGAAATATTGTAAATGCGAATATGACCATGACTGGGAACACATGGAAGTTTGTAGTGTCCTAAATTGTTTGTTGAAACATGTATGGACGTTACTAAGAAAACAATCCTTAAATATTCGTTTTTGGTTACAGTATCACAATATTTGAGCCTGCAGTTGTTTCAGCATCTTACTTCATTGGTTTATGAGCTGATGAAACTTGCTTACAAGGCCAGAAGAAAAGATAGAAACTTTTCTGCCTAACAAGAATATATTTCCAGTGTTGCTACTCAATTTGCATAATACTGACAGTAATTCTGACAATTTCAGAGCAATCTACTGAGTATCACCATTCAGGAAAGCCCATGACTATGCCTATAGTCAAAGTGGTTTTAAGAACAGTAAGCACTTAATTTTTGGGTGGAAATTTGCTAGAAAAAGGACAAAATATAAAGGGATTAATCAACGCAATTAAGAAGTGTCTAGTGAATGTTGCCTGTTGATAATATTATAATCAAGGTCATTGTGACATATGTGATTGTCTATGCAATTGAGTTTTTCATGTAGATCGTTAATTATGTCAACTAAAGTATGTATATAATTTTTATGGGACACTGGATTATTGTGTTCTGTTGTTTCAAACCCTCATGTTGCAGCTCTCACTTTCTAGGGACTCTAGTTGAAACTTCTTAAGTGCTAGACTGAGAATTACATGAGCAGGTGCAAGTGAGATCCTTGATGCAAAGTGTTATTCTTTTCTTAGGTGTACAAAAGTAAGGTTAAAAAAGCAGACTCCACAATAGAAGACTAAGGCTATTGCTCACATTTGGAATGAATTTACTAGGCGCAGCAAGTATCTCACTTGAATCTTCCCCACATTTTACTCTCATATGTTATACTTTCTCTCATACAGTATGAAAAATGACAACAATCAGAGTAGTAAGGCTGAATACTGTAAAATGTGTGCTAAAGTAAAAATAAAAAAAAGAGGAAACTGAAGCTAGCTAACAGGCTGTTTTGTCAAACATGTCTTGGCTGTATCTCACCAAATCATAAAATTTTTGCCTCATCTGAACGCAGCACCTTGTGGTCAAATGATTGCAAAAACTTGGCTAGTCTGCTGAAAGCGTATGAAATGGCACCAACCCCTCACACTCCTGCCATCATTTTGGGCTCTGTGTTTTTTGATGATGACCGAAATTTAGGACGGCAGAAACTCCAGTCTATCCAGACGGCGTATGGTTGGTAAGGCTAGGTCTTACAAGTCAAAACTAGAAATTGGGGAGACGATTTATTACACAAAACGGCACATTAAAATGGATCCACTGAAGGTAGAACACTTTTTAGATTGGCTGATCACCTTCGGGATGCTTCAAGATGTAACACGTGGGACAGCTTTGTTAAAACTAGAGAGTGGCCTGAAGATAACAATACCAAAATTTGTGAAAGTTGCTGTCAAAGAAGACATTGTGAAGACCTATTTTATCCAGTGTGATGCTGAAGGATTTGATAAGCCCTTATCCAAGTCGACCCTATTGGATGTGCTTGACAAGTGTAAAGCCAGTCAAAGAGAAGCCCTTTCTGGCCCCTGTCATAATTGACAATTTATTTGAAACTGCACCTGTTGCTACTCTAGCACAGGGGGTTACTACAATAGAAATTAATTTCATTTACCAGTTTAATTGTGTTATGAGCCTAAAACAGGTTCCTGTTTCTTGACATAGGGGTCTATTCTTCCATTTGTGCGTAAGTCCTTTTTTACGCGATTCGAGTTACGCACATTTGAGTTACACGTATTCTCCCCTATGCGCTTCGATCACGCCCACAGCGCTTAACTTCAGAATGTAGGCGGCCTTATGAAAGAGGTGTGACCAATCCAAAAGAAAGACAGACTCTGTACCAAGCTCATTGATTATGGCTATCAGGAAAACATGGAACAAGGATTTTCTGATTAACCATGAAAATGCAGTTGTAGTCCATGGAAAACGCAAACCAGACTTTAAATTTGAATATCGTCAGCCTGCTGATAAAACGTCGTATCTCCAAATTGAAAAGAAACAAAAACTCGTATGTCCACTATTCTTACATGCAAAATTAAACATTTTTTATTTTATTTAAATTTTAAATTATATTAATCAATTTATATTATTCTATTATTTTTTATGTTATATTTATTCTTTATTTTCCTGTGAAGTTTATCATTTTGAAGATATGAGGTCTTATCAGCAGGCCGATGATGCTGTAATAGTAGGCCTATGTATGTCTGTGCCAATTACAAGAAGTAGTGCAGACATCTCTTTTTTATTTCTTGTTCTAGCCACCGTGACATTAAAGCTATGCAAACAAACAAATTGCTGCGATAATGAAATAACAAATAAAGAATTTAGCACTTCTCAACCAGCGCAATCAGAGTATTGAAAATGTGCCCCTCCTACATCAGCCTGTTTGTTCCGTGGAAGACAGGGAAGAAGACAAATAAAGAGAACATTCTAGTCACACAAAAATAACAATCAAAGACAGTTTATATGATCTCATTTAGAAATTGCGCACTTGAAATCTCAAACTACACCGATGTCAGGTTTGCAACTAAAGGACATGGCAACGCTTTAACAAACAAAGGATTCTTACCCTGCACCCCCCCCCGAAACCGCCTCAATAATCACACAATTCCATATCCATAGCCTATTATGTCCCATTTGATTTGAGCGACACATTCACTTGAACTTGTGCCTATAGTACTTTATTGTAATCAATTATCCCATTTACTGATAATGATTCTTCCCATGTCGGCTATTCTTTATTGGCTAAAATTTGATTAACAAATGGGTAGTGCTTTGGTATTGGCCAGAGTAGGGCTCAATCTAGAGTATTTAATAATATCTTTATTCACACATTAAAATAGACAGTATTGTCAATGGTTAAAAAAATAAAAAAACATATTTACATAGACACGGGTAAGTTAATACAGATATCTTCAATTAGAAAATCAATCACCTCCCTAGTGAGAATATCACAACTTTTTAGATTATCACGAACATATAGGGCAGTCACATTTGTTAATAGAACATAAAGACAACGATGGCGACGTCGAGCCGAAGCCGAAAACCAAATTTCACAGATGAGGAGTTAGAGGTATTGGTGAAATCAGTGAAGAGGCACCGCGAGGTGTTGTATGGCAAGGGGGCACTGAAGGCTGATCCGAGGAAGAAAGCTGCAAATCGTTCTGGATGTGGCTTCAGTGGGGAGATATAAGCGCAGTATCCCCGATTTAAAGCATAAATGGAGAGATCTGTGGGGCGCTGTAAAAGCCAGACTCTCTGCACACCAGAGAAGTGTACACGCAACAGGTGATGGGCAACCATCATCCCCTGTGCATTTCACTGCACTGGAGGAGGAGGTGGCATCCACTCTTTCTGCAGTGGAAGTGCATGGAGAAAACTTGGAGTGGATACGGATGAAGGAGGGTTACATAAAATGGCCATTTTTATTTGCATATACTCAAAGTATCATTGTGATAAATACTGGAAACAAGCTTAGGTTTCAAATATTCATTGTATTTTTTGGCATTTCAAGCAGTTGCGCAGTACAAGGCGTCATGGGCCGAGCCAGGGAATTTGGCGCACATGCTTAATATGCGCGTATCATGATCGCACTCAACCTGAACATTAATGCTGCGCCGACGTCTTCGGTCTCTGTACATATTTTCATTAGTGGAAGGAGTTCTGATTGCAACGTGAGTACAATCAATGGCTCCCACAACACTGGGGAACCCGGCAGAACCCCCCCTTAACTCTCTGTCTTTCAGCGGGTGTTTCGGGGAACTTTATGAAGCGGCTGATGTGGTGCAGCATAGCGTCAACGAACTGTGTAAGACACCTTGACACAGACACCTGTGATATGTGCATGACATCACCAGCCACTCTCTGGAACGACCCAGATGCTAGGACCGACAGCGGAGTTTTGACCTTGATGACAACGGGTATGTTTTCTGGATGATTGCTGCGGCTGGATAGCTGTTCATCCAGAAGTCGGCGAAGATAGATGATTGCCTCACGGTCCAGACGAAAGCGCTGGATGCACTCGATGTCTGTTAGTCCCAGGATGTCCAAAC